GCTTCTAGGCTGGAGGCCATCGCTTCTAGGTTGGAGGCCATCGCTTCCAGGTTGGAGGCCATTGCTTCTAGGTTGGAGGCCATCGTTTCTAGGTTGGAGGACATCGTTTCTATGTTGGAGGCCATCGCTTCTAGGTTGGAGGCCATCGCTTCTAGGTTGGAGGCCATCGCTTCTATGTTGGAGGCCATCGCTATTAGGCAGGAGGCCATCGCAATAACCCAAAAGTCTAGGAGCAAAAACGATCGCGAAGGGTTCTTTAAGGAAGGTGCTCCGCTCAGGTGGGGTAGGTTCCTCAAAAGACCCGTTCTGTGTCCGGAGCCTACTAGCTTCCTTGCTACTTCTAGCTACTAGCACCTCTTATATACTGCTAGCCACCCACTTTAGCTCTCCTACCCCTTCAAAAAAGACGACACATTGCTTGGTTTCTTGGACTATCCTAGCTTCAGATAGCTTGGAACACACTGCTTGATTGCAAGGATGGCCTCTCTTGGACTCCCGCCCTGCAGCTTCTTGTCGATATGCGCACTTGCCACTTGGATGCTTGGGTTCATGAGGAGTCCTGGCTGTTTTAAAGTGGCCTTAAAGCCATGCTTTGTGCGATAGGTTTCGCTTTTGGACGAGTCCGGCTCACATTGACCATTCTCACAAGAGCTTGCAGAGCCATGCCCAGCGTGGCCAAGTTTTGAAGCTCTTCTGCATGGCAGCTGGGGCCAAACCATAGCTTTCCTATGAGTACCACTACTGGACAGGCTCCGACACTCTCACCATGGAATCAAGCAGACAAATTTTCTTCTCTGGGGGATGATAATGTATCTTGCTGTAGCCAGCTGAACCCTGATGAGCTCCCCAACACTGACATACTCAAATCGGACAGCACTCTGCAAGAGATTGTCAAATGGTCAGGCGCAGTTCCTGGCTTGATATCTCATCGTGGTATGGAGTTATTCTAAACATTGTTCATAACTCACAAGCCATATCCGTGGGAACTTGGATATCGATACAACATCGTAAACAGAGCAAACATGACCAACACACCACAGGCAGGGAATCAATAACAGTTCATGTTCCTGGAGCTACCAATCCACCCTGACCCAAACAACCACAAATCAACACGCAGTCACCCCAAGAGCTTTATCAAGCTGCGAACGCTCTAAGACTCTGAATATAATATGACCTCCCCTTACGAACTTTATGTCCTTCCTCGACAAAAGCTTTTTTGACGAGGTCGCTTCCATGCTGACGTGGCAGCCGTTAGTTCAGGCCAACTTCGTCAGATTCTGAAGTTCTTCCAACAGGTCAAAGTTCCATTGCTAGTGTTGAAGCCACGTCAACACAACATGCTGGGTAAAAGCAACTGCTGCTTTCAATGTCATTGGAGAAGTTTCATGTTGTGTGACCGTGTGATGGATGCATTCTGCAGGACTTGCTGCCTGTGCTGGTGCGGTGTTGCCCTAAAGTTTGAAATGGACAAGCAGTAGATACTTTTACTGTAAGTTATGTACACGTAGAGGCAGATGCTTGACTTCGCCAGTTGAGATTTCTCCTTTGGTGCAGTACTTGCAGAGGAATTTCTGGTGCACCCTTTCACACCTTTTGATTCGAATGGACAGCTGTCGAACAGAGCAAGGAAAGCATCATTATTGTAATGCTTTGTTTAAACAAACTTGAATTAGAAACGCATGAGACTTGGACCGAGATGTAAGGAAGGTAATGACAACCATTCTTGCCTCTATGATGGAACTCTTAACAGCTCTGATTGGCTCATTTCCGAGGGGAGCTGGACATTTGCCTTGGCCATGCTTGGAGCAGACGCCAACGCAGTGTCGCCTGACCAGCCAAGTAAATGAGTCGTGGAGTTCTGACCTCCTTTAAGCAATTGCTTTAAAGAATTACAGAATTGCTGGACAGCTTTTTGACGGAGCGGTACAGATTTGCTTGAAAAGCTGTTTGTCCGATTTGCAGCTGTTTGGCTCACCTTTTGTTTGTGCACAGCTGATTGGAGTGGAAATCCGCCATGTCGCAATCTGTATTTGAGGGCACTATGCTTTGCAAATACTTCGTGACTTGCTTTGCAATACTTCACTAAAAAGGCTGCAAAGTGCGGTTGCTTCACGCGCTTGAAGTGTCAGGTTAGTGACTGTTGGTGGAGGTGGCTAGGTAATGCCAGCCTGTGACCAAACTAAGGCACAGGGAAAATGCTACAAGGGAGCAACGTGCAAGTTTGCACACGGCATATCGGCTCTCCGCGCTAAACCGGACTGCGGACACTGTATTATTGTTGTGTGCCATCGAGTATTGGACTGCATGTTGACTTGGGATTTGCCTCTTTGCTCTCTCTTTGCACTGCCATGTTGCATTGGTTGCGCTGGGGTTTGTGAGGACCTGTGCAAGACTAAGATGTGCTCAGATTTCAAGCAATATGGTGCTTGCTCAAGGGGCAAGGAGTGGTTACTGTAACATTCTTTGCCACCCTTCATGTTGTGTTCCCGTGTGGGTTGAGAATGTTCCAGACCTTTACAATCCAGGACTGCAGGTTTGCACATGAGCGCAATGAGATTCGCCGTGGCCAGAAGAAAAAGGTAAGCCAAGCCTTGGAAACATCATACGAGGCCTTCACGGAGGACTGCATTTCTTTTTCCCCAAACAGTTTACGTCGGGGTTGTGTCACTGCTGGTGTCTGCCCTTTTCCGCTGGCCATATAGCATTTCTATTCATTTGTCTCCCAGGTCTGTCACTGTGGTGTCCGCCCTTTTCCGTTGGCCATGTAGCATGTCTATTCATTTGTCTCCCAGGTCTGTCACTGGTGGTGTCCGCATGTAGCATTTCCACTTATTTGCTGTTCATTTGTCTCCCAAGTCTGTCACTGCTGGTGACCGCCCTTTTCCGCTGGCCCATGTAGCATTTCTATTCATTTGTCTCCCAGGTCTGTCGCTGCTGGTGTCGCTGGTGTCCGCCCTTTTCCGCTGGCGATGCAACATTTTTTTTCATTCCCCAAATGATTTGCCGTTACGTAGGGTTTTTCAATTCTTTCTTAAGATGTGTCCCTGCTGGTGTCCGCCCATTTCCGCTGGCCATGCAGCATTTCAATTCGTTTGTCTTTAAAGTGATTTCTTTACTTTTGTCTCCCAGGTTCGGTGCCTGCATTGCTGGTGTCCGCCCCTTTTCCGCTGGCCATGCAGCACTTCTATTCATTTGTTTCCCATGTGGTTTGTTTACTTTTGTTTTCCAGGTTCGGTGCCTGCACTGCTGGCATCCGCCCTTTTCCCCTTTCCAGCATTGCTATTCACCTGTCTCCCAGGTGATTTGGTCCGTCTTGTCTCCCTTCTGTTTCCTTTTGTGTCCCTTCTTATTGGTCATTGTGTCCGCCTTGTCTCCCTTCTTGTCTCCCTTGTCCCAGCTCTGGGCTGCGTGTCGCTTGCAATCCTTTACATTGGTCTCCCTGGGCCTACATTTGTCTCCCAGCTCTGGACTGCTGTGCCCACCTCTGCCTTGCAATCCTTTACACTTGTCTCCCAGCTCTGGGCTGCTGTGTCCAATGCTTTATATTTGTCATCATTTGTCTCCCAGCGCTGGGCTGCTGTTTCCGCCTCTGCCTTGCAATCCTTAATTTTACATTTGTCTCCCAGCTCTGACTGCTGTGTCCGCCTCTGCCTTGCAATCCTTTACATGTGTCCTCACTGTGGATTATGGAGAGCGCCAATCTCCAGCAAACAAATGAGTGTGCAACCCCAAAAGAACAAAGGCGCAACAAGGTGTGGGCATGCGACCCAAAACACGAAAAAGCAAACCGCAAGCAAATGCCTTTTTGCTGCTGTGCGAACATCGATGCTCTGGTAAAATGCGGTAGCGGCGAAGTGACATGGAAAGCTCAACCACAAGCGAAAGCACATGCTCAATCACATCGAGGAAAGAAGGTGTTTCCTTGTCACCTTCATTCGGAGCTTGCGTCGCTCCCTCTGTGCCTTCCGCAGGCCCGACCGACGTGCTTCTTCTCGACGATCTTCTGTTGTCTCCACAAGGCATAGGCTGCCTTTCTGACGGAATTCCTTCAGCAGATCTGTTGCCATCTCTTTTGTCAGCGGGTCTGCAAGTTGCTTCCATGTGGGAGTCCATCGAAGCTTCAGCACCTGGTCTTCCACCAACCTTTTCACCATCAACATGTCCAAGGCGGTCTGTTTCTCTGCCGCCAGGCTCCCCGTCTTGTTGACGTGATCGTGAAGCCCCTTTGCATCGGTGATGATCACACCACCTGTCTGGAGCTGGGTCCTCCACTGGGGCTGAATCTCCGTTCGGCCGTGGAACATGGCATCGAAGAGGGCTCGATTGTACAGGATCTTGTCTGCAGCTGATGTCATTGCGCATGACTCAGCTGCTAAACTGGATCGGACCACTCTGTGCACCTTCGAACTGTGGAACTCGATCAAGCTGGCCTTGCACAGTTTGTGCTCCACCTCAATGCCAGTCAGCAGATGGACTTCAGCCTGCTGTGCACTCATCACTTCACTCTTGCCCAGGGAAGCGTCAAAGAAGGACACAAACAATGCTTTCTTCTCAACAGGATAGAGCACATTGATTGCCCCTCCCGTTTTGGCAGCTTCCTGCATCTGGCTCAGCACTTGGTTTGCCTGCACCAAATCTTTGCCCTTGGCTCTGGAGACGGTCTGTGCCAAGGTGCTGGTCTTGTACAAGAACTCCGGCATGACCAAATGTGCAGGCCACCTTAGCTGCATGATGAGCCTCCTGTAGGCTGTGAGTTGACTGCCTTGCAAATCCTCCTCCGGCTTGGTGCTCACTTCAGCTGGCTGGATCTTAGAGACATACTCACCCATGTCGTCCACGAAAGTCTTCCCTATCCGGCGAGTCTTCACGCCAAGGAAGGTGACATCTTTCTCATCAAGGTTTTGCCACTCCTTGATATTGAACTTGGAGCTGATTTGCCTTTGCAGGTCTTTCATGCGAGTTGCTGCAGTGGTCAAAAACCCATCATCGACATGCAAGCATAGAATCGCAATGACCTGCTGTCCTTCCTTCAGCACGAAGGTGGCCCGACAAAGCTCCAGCTCAATGAAGTTCAACTCCTCCAAAAGCTCCTTAGCTCGAAGATACCAAAGCCTTGGTGCTTCCGATAGGCCATAGGCCGACTTGCAGAGCAAAAGGAGTTCATATGGCTTGATGGCTGGCTCATCTCTCACTGACGGCAACCCTTCTGGCGGCGCTTTGATCACCACTTTCCTTTCAACTGGCTTGCCAGATAAGAATGCAGTGCTGACATCAAAACATGAGGCCTGCCAAGATCTAGTCAAAGCGACAATCTTAGCCAACTGCACTGCTGCCCAGGTGGTAGTCGGTGCATCCGACCTGAATGCTCCAAGATGTGGGTCCTGATGACCTGGCACAACGAGTCTTGACTTTGCTTGGAGCCCACCTGTCAAAGCTGCCTTGTTCACCCGCACGATACGGGCAGGAGCTCTGAAAACATCTTTAGGATCCAGCTGGCGAATCTCTTCATCATTCAAGCGCCGCACGACTTTGTTGTCAATCCAAGACATCCATTCTTTGCTGTCACTTTCGGCAAAGGCTTTCTTCTCGGCCTCATTGAAAAACTTGGGATTGAGCTCTTTGCCATTTGGGCGGTTGATGAGGAGGTATGCTTCATGGAAAGCTTGACGATCTTCCTCCTCTCTTCGCAACTTCAGCCACTCCTCATAGTCTTCAACCTTCACTTCATACACACCATGGGGGAGCTCAACAAAAACATTGCCTTCTTTTCTTTCTTCTTTTCCTTCTCTCAAAAACATAGTCACTCCCCGCCACTGGTGTGGAACTCGTCTTTTGGGCCTGGTCTTCACCTCCATGCTATCTTCTTGACAGATCATGGCCGTGCCTGTTTCCTGTCCAAACATGACAGTGATGCGGCCCTTACCCTCTTTGGGTGGCTTTTGAAGTCTTTTCCGAGGTGCCATATGATACCTCATACTTGTAATGGGCAAGTCGAGGAGCTGTGACATCTTCTGCACCTCTTGCCTGGAAGCCCATTGGTTGGCCTTTTCCTTTTCTGCTATCAGACTCACCATGGTGTAGTGCATCACATTGGCATTGAATCTGTGCCGAATCTCTTCTTCTGTCAGGCCTCTTGGTGGCTCCTCGGAGAAGCGTCTTTGCTTCAAGCTCACGGGGACATCATCCTGGAGGAACTCTCTCAATCTCTTCTTTCGTCCTTCTTCTTCTTCCTGTTGACCTCCATGAAGCCAGCGGTTGAAGGACTTCCTCATCTCTTCCTCAGCTCTCTTCTTTGCCTCCAGGTCTTCTTGCACAGGCATCTCAACTGCCTGCTCCTCTTCCTCTTGTGTCTCCTGAGCCTCTGGTGGCTTCTCTTTCCTTTCTGTCCGGGTCCTCCAAGAGTTCTTCAGCTTAATCTTCTCGGGCTTGATCTTGTCCTTCACGATTGTTCTTTGAACTTTTCTCAAGCCCTTCAGACTCTTCGCAATGTCTTTGGCCCGGAACTTCTTTCTTCCTCCTCTGGTGGGAATGATGATCCCTTCTTGTGGCTTCCACCCCATCTCCTCCTGCTCTTCATCTTCTGGTGGTGTTGGGACCTTGGTGAGATCTTCGAACTCCCTCTGTTGATCTTTGTCCCATTGCTTCTCTAGGGAATCAAGCTCCTGGATGCGTCCTCGGAAGTCACCACCCTCCAATGATGTGCAAGTCCTCAGGTTGGCAGCAGCGACAAGGAGACAACGGCCTCGCCAACTCACATAGTATCTTTCGTGGCTCTCCTTCATCAGGATGATGGCGGGACCTCGCCAGGCACCTCCATCCCGT